TTCTTCTTCAGCTTCGGACAATCTTTCTTCCAATGGTCTTTCTCATGACAAAAGGCACATTCATCTTTTCCCAGTCTGGACTTCGACTTTGATCTCCCTCTCCACTTTGGCTTTTGACTTTTCGGGCGACCTCTTGCCACCATGGCCTCCGCTGCTTCGTACTTGCTCTCCTTCTTGGTTTTCTTCCTGAGTTCATAATTATATACAAAGCAGCAGTTACATCTTTAAGGGTAACATTATCCTTACCATGAAGTAACGTTGTCTCAAGGTGCTCAAATTCATCTGGAAGAGATGACAACAACATCAAAGCCAAATCTTCATCTTTGAAGGTTTCATCCATGCCCAATAAGTCTTCAACTAGCTCATTGAACGCAGTGATGTGTTCATTCATACTGGTGTCTGGTTGATAATCAAATCTGAACAATCTTTTCTTCATGTGAAGACGAATCTGAGAGCTTTTCTTCAGGAATTTTTTCTCCAAAGCTTTCCACATCTTACTTGCAGAAGTCTCGTTCTTGTAGCCATACTTCTGCTCCCTGGAAAGACAAGATTGAATCGTGTTGCACGCCAAACGATTGATTGTTCCACATTCTTTCTCCTCCATATATTCGGGCTTTTCTTCCTCAATGGCGATGTCCAGACCTTGTTGGAATAAAGCGTCTAACACCTCGCCTTGCCACATGCCAAAATGACTGGATCCATCGAACAACTCCACCGAGAAATTTGTATTTGACATCACTCTCCTCACCGGTCCAAATGAAGAGCTTGATGTCTCAACTAATCCGTATTTTGGCATTTTAATTCTAACGAACAATATTCAATATCACGAACTGTATCTTTTCAGCAACGGAACCACCAGGATACCTCATCCGAAGCTCTAATATCAATTGTTAGGGAAAATGAGTTATTTCCCACACGAACGTAGTTTTAAAATTGACCTAAAATGTCAAGATTAAAACCACCAAAAGTTGCACAGCGGATAAACTTGTCAAACTATTGAATATTAAAACACAATGAAAAGAACCGAATAAAAAATAATAAAGGAGATAACACACCAAATTTACGAGGTTCGACGAGAATATCGTCTACTCTTCGGGCACCACACCGAATGATAACTTCAATATATCGCCAATATTACAACAAATGGAATTCTTTGGAATTCCCAAAGTGGGAAAATGAAGAATACAAGAGGAAGAGAGAACTTGTTTTTGGGATGATTTCTAATGAAAATACTTAGGCCTATTTATAGTTGAGTTTCAAGAATAATATGTTCAAAGTTTGGCCACCTACCAAAGAATTTTCCAATGTGTACAAGTTAGCCACCAAATATGAAATTCACATGTTCAAAGTTTGGCCACCAACCAAAATGAAATTTCCAATAAGTTTGCCACCAACCAAGATGAAATTTCCAACTTGTCAACTTAATTTCTAGACAAATCTAACATACCACACTATTTGATTGAATGAAATTGACCAGATGACCCATCGATGCCAACTCCGATTGAGAATGAGCACCTACTCTTTCTGATTCATCAACAACGGAGTTCAAATCACCCCAATCAATACTGGCAATTTTACATTGGATATAAACTCTGAGATGGACGGGAAGAACTCGATCCTTTTATTCACCACATTAGGAGCATAAATGTTGATGAATGATGATGACACACTTCAGTTTAAATTGGCAGAGAAAACCTTCAACGCAAATTGCCCTGTCGAACGACGAGATTTTGGAAGCCTCGAAGAAACTGCTATCCCACAAGGAAATCAGTCCACCAGAAGCCCCTAAAGACGGGGAGAAAGCCAACCCATTGAACCTTGATCCTCGAAGACGAAGCGATAACCCTGGCTTTAATGACATTAATTTGGATTCTTGAAGAAACGCAATACTAGTTTTCAACTCCGCAAATAACCTGAGAGCTGCCTGCACCTTCTCTGGCCTGCCAAGACCTCTGATATTCCATGATACTACTGCACAATTCATAAAAGAAAAAGATCAACACGATAGCAAGATAAAAAACCCATGGAAATTAATTGTTTCGAGCCAATTCAATGGCTATCAGACGATCAACCACCTGGTTATCCTTACAATGAAACTGAATTCCGATCCTTTTACCGAGAGACAGAGTAGCTTGCGCTTCTGAGATGGGCGATAAATGGATAGATGGAGGAACAGGGGACGTGGAGCTCTGGCCAACTGTATTCCCCACTGGAGTAGAGGACTGTGGGTTACCTGGTCTTTTCGCCCTCTTATTAATTTTTCTGGACTTATGCTCTTTTCGGATTTTCTTACCTGTACATACCTGAACACCTAACAGATTGGGCCCAGGGGAAGATGACGAAGGTTGGTACTGGAACTGCACAGATTTGGTCACAAATTTGATTACTTTTATTAAAGTTGGGCCCATGCGTTTGTAGAATCGACAGCTGGGCTTCCTCAATTGGGATGTCTTGAAGTCTGGACGCGTTGGATATAGACCATTCCTCAATATTTTCGCCAATGTGTACCCCTTCATAAAAAACTGCCCTCGACAACTTTATCAAACAGAATTGGGACGTCATGTAGCCCACCCCGCTCGAATTTGAATTACAACCTTGATTAAACTGTATTGCGCCACCTGGAGCATCGTCTGCTTGGACTTGGTGACCTGACTGCTCTTCGTCGGGTTGCAGAGGAAAGCTGACAACATCATCCTGGAGAATCGGTCTATGATTACACAAAGCAACGTTGCATAGAATGTAAAGCGGCACGTAACTATTCTCTTCATCGCCAACTCCCACCGGCCGACTACCATCGATGAACTGTGTTTCTTCTTCGAAATCCACTGTCCCCGAACTAATCTTATGCATTGTGCCATTAACGAGGATATTCAGCCTGTTAGGGATGATAGACGCTTTACCGACTTCCACCAGCACACGAGCTTCATTAAAGCGGTTCAAACCCAAAGTGTCTGCATCAACTTTCACAACATTCCCCCATTTCTGCATCAACTTTCACAACATTCCCCCATTTCAATCGAAAAAGCTCCGGTTCCACACCTGTAACGGGACGTCCTTCATTACTATCTGAACCTTGACTTTCTTTTTGCCTTCGAAGCCCTTAAGTAGTTCTAGTTCGTCAAACCACATTTGTATCATGGATTCTCTCATTCTCCAACATCGGACCTTTTCTTCGACTGACCTGAAACGAAGAACGGATAGAAGACCAGCCCATGGGCAGACATGCACTTGGAATCCTTCCGAGCTGAGCGCCTCCTGTACTAGGTTATTGTTATACATAGCTTTAATGGAACCCACTAGACAATTTGATCTCCATTTTGTTTCTTGGATGGGGATATTGATCACGTTCGACAATTCCTTACTTAAGCCTCCCCCCTCGCTACCATCAACTACATTGGCGAGCACTGTTTCTTCCTCCGCAAGCATCTTAGGATATCCTTCCTGACGGGCCGCCGGGGCCACTTCTAGATCAAGCTCCCGAATCTCTACCTGCCTCCCTGCGCCTTTTACCGCTTCCCTGTTCGACCTATTATCCCTTAACGATGGTCTCCACACCCTGGGAGCCCGAGCTGGCTGTGAATGGTTGGAGACTATGGGACTCTGCCCCATCGCGAAAAACGCTCTAATACGGGACCTGCCGATTAAACTTCTACTGCATTCTCTAATGGCGATCTTGGCAGCATGAAGGGTGGAAAAACGAGCGAACGCAAATGTTGTTTGTTTTACTATTTTGTTCTGATTCTTGTACGAAATGAATACGTCGATGACATGCTCGTATTTCCCAAAAAAACTCTCCTGAGCTCAAGCGGTCCGACTCTCTTGTTTACATTGTCGATAAAGACAGAAAACCCATTCCGCTGAACAAAATCTCTATGACGACCGTTGTCCGCCTGGGACACTCATCTCCTACCTCTTGAAAACTCGCAGCCCGACTGTCGCCGATGGAAACCTTCTTTGCTCCTGGCCGAATCGAAATGCATTACTTTGGCCATCTTCTTCACTTAATGTTTAGAATAATCTCTTTTCAGTGTTATTAATCAAAGTTTATTGTTGGGTACACCAACCAAATTTCCCAATTATATTTTGCATGTCGGTGATATAAGAGGTGGTGGTGGGCTGTTGGCCGGTGATTTCAACCACCCTCTTCCCTTTTGGCTAAATTTGGAAGCACACTTAAGTTGAATCGATTTCTAAATTGGGTACGAGCTCAAAGTTAAATTTGACATGAAAATTGAATTATTTGAATTTAAGTTTGTTTATATAATAAAAAATGATTTTGACTTTTGTATCTGATTTTAAATTTAAATATTTATTTTTGAATCTTTGAGTTTAAGTGTAAATAATCTTTGAAAAAACTAATTAAAAATGAATTCAATTATATTTTTAATCTTAATTTTTTTTAAAATAACCATTTTAATTTTTTTTTATTTCTTTTTATATTTAAATTTTTATAATTTTGACAAATTAAACCAATCGACCAAAAGTAATGAAATTTTTAGTTACTTTTATATATTCTTTTATATTTTTTCATATTATTTATTTTTATAGTTTTTCATAATTTAAATAGATTTTTTTACATTTTTATAATATCTAAATATTTTTATTAATTTAGAAAATATACTTTTTGTTTTCTCTACAATAAAATAAAATAACTAACATCGTCATTGACCACAAAAAATAAAGATTCAAATATCTTTAAAAAAAATTCTGAGTGTCATGTCAATAGATAAAAGAAATATCGGATTAAAATTATTCGAGTAAAATATTAAGATATTTAAATTTAACTCGATCGATGGTACAACTTAACCCGAATAAAATATAAATGTAATTGGATCGTAATTGATCTCTGAAACCAAATCGAAGATTTCCCCATTGACTTTAAAATTTTATCCAGAAATTTATTTTTAAAATTCAATAACCGAAATTAAAGAAAGAGCAAATCATTTGAAAAAAGTAAAAAAGAATCTGTGTATAAAGTAATTCGATCACAAATGACCTTTGAAACTCGATATTGTTACTGTAATGATAGCCAATACGAGTATGACCAAGACAGATCAGATTCGTGGACGTCTTCGTTTTGCTCGTTGCAGTTCAGCTTCATTCATCCAATCTGAGAGCCTCAACAGACCTTTGTAACCATAATATGTTACGGCAATCACAGCCGCTATGATGATGATAATCAAAAGCACACGCTTGATGGTGGCAACAAATTTCTGTTGGAAATAGTAAATAAGAATTGAAGTTTTTGAGCAAAGTGACTAGGAAATAAGGCTTATTCAACTTGTGAAAGAGAACAACATACCTGAAGTCTTGAAACTTGCTCGCCCTCTCGAATCCGGTCACGCCTTTTTCTGCGCTTTGGCCCTTGTTTTCCGTCTGGCTCTTTTTTCTTTGATAAATCATGCAATCGTACGGAATTATAAGCATGCATGCATGACAACAAAAACGAAAGATTGTAAAATGATTAATAGGAATACGTAAACAACAAATTCGAGACTCCCAAGTTTAGCCAAACAGTTAATTTTTTGAAAACCGAGGATAAATCTCCGAAATTTGAGGATTTTTTCAGGGTAGATTGGCATCGGGTCCTAGCATCCCTGATAATATCAATATATCATAACTTGTAACAAGATCAATATAGGTTAAATTTCTGAGATAACAACGCCTCCGCCATGGCAATTATCTCAGCAACACCAACAAATTTTAACTCAAAAGAGGACTACTCGATGAAAGGAACAACGAAATGTGGGTTTCACAAATGCACAATTCCCCAAACCGCTTATCATGTTAGAGGTGATTACAAAAGATGCTTGAATCAATATGTATGCAATGCATCTTGTTTTCGAATAATCATTAACCAATATCTGAATAGCTTCAAAGTAATCTAACATAGATATGCGCAAGCAGATGATTGATGAAACAGGAGTTGAATAATTCTAACCCAATTTAAAACATCTTACCTCCAGAACCTTAGGTTTACGCAATTGTAAAGCTGACTCAACCTCCTGTACTTTGCTCTTACAATCCGAATTGCAAGCCAGAAGTCCAAGTCCAAATTGATTCTTCGGTATATCTTTGGGATCATGACCGGTATCATGATATGCGGCCTGAACATCTTGGCATATCCATTCCTTCTTCAAGGTTTGGCATTTACAACGAACGGTAACCTGGCATGTAGAAGATGAAGATCAAATACGATGTTAGTAATACCTTAAATTGTGATTGTGAACTCTCTTGTATAATATTGCTGAAGTTGAAGGGAGATAATCCGACAAACATTCTGAGATACAAAAATTTCTAACTTATCAGTGATATAGTCAATTAAAAATGAAAAGTATTACCTTTTTGCTGCACTTATCAGGGGCCGGGCATTTATCAACATGGCATATTTCAGGACATAAATGCGTACAGTTGGGAAGCTTTCTGCAGCACAAGTTTCCAAAGTTTTAGTATATATCTCAATCATAACAGGACAGCTGAAAACAATCCAATTTGGGGGGGGGGGGGGGAAATCGCTGCAGAGAGACCAAGAGTATATCTATAAACTACCTATGGCACGGGCCTCCACATGAGCGAGCAGCCACTTGGTCCTTTTCAGATAAATTGTTATAATAGATGCACTCAAATGCATGGACCATTGCACCACAATGACATGACCGTTTCACGAGCACTTTGCAAGGAGGGCATTCTCCAGGATGACATTGCAGAGGGCAGGGGTGTGAACATTTAGGCATTCTCTCCTGAGGAAATATTTAAGAGATAAGGCAATTGGAAGTTGGAACCTCATATTAAATACAGTTATATCTAACTAGATAAACTGTGGTGCTTATGTGGTGCAGATAGCAGCCTCATGCTTTTAAAGTTTACAGCACTCCAAAGACCAAGAAAGCAGGAACAGGGAAATAAGGCTCGGCTTGGCATGCAAGATGGGAAAGAGTGAGAATGGAAAATTTGTTAACCTAATGGTTAAGTTACGAAGTAGGAAGTGGTAAAGAATCTTAACCATTTGATTAATAATTTTTCCATTATCACTCCTTTCCATCCTTCATACTAAGCAAAGCCTAAAAGATTAGCTTGAGTCAAATATCATAAATGAGGGAATGAGAACAATAACAGGTTGGGCACCTTCTCGCAAGGGAGTCTACACTCTTCACAAGTTTCACTTCTTTTGTGATGTCCTGATGAAGAAGGCTGTGTCTCCAGGGGATGGCAAGTTTTCGTACAATAGTGATTGCCACAAGGAAGGAGATTTCCACACAAATTATCACAGGAAAATCGTGTTGTATTGGAGCAAACCATCTGAAAGAAGGAAGAAGAATGAGTTAAAAGTAAAACGAATGGCCTCGGACCAATCAGAAGCTACTCCTTTACAACTTAAAAAGAAGTAAAACCAACCATCCTCTCTGCTCCCATGTGCTCGCCAACGCATGGTCTCCAAACTAGTTCTGGGCAAGGAGGGCAAGGGGTGCCAGGAGTGCACCCAGGCTGAAGATATGATTTCTTTTTCTTAGGTTTCAATGTGAATTCTGGATTTGGAGGAGGTTTAGGCCCATGACACCTGGAATAAAAAAAAAGAAAATGGCATCAGCTAAAAGAGACGTGTAGAGAAACGTCTGAAATCACACAGTAAATATAAAAAGATCATTTGGCAAACCTTAAGTTGCACTTGTGACCGCATGGATATTCTACTTCACAAAGTGCCCGACATTGGGGGCATGGTCCATAGTGGCATCGGTGTGGCTGGTAAAAAGTGAAAGAGAATAACTGGCTAACAGAACTTGAGCAAAATATGCTATACCTTGTTTATGTTAAGTAAATGATAGAAAATAATGATGCTATCACACACTATCACTTTATGACCTATGAGATATATGGGCAATATAGGAACTTTTAAACATGATAAAAGAAATTAAATTTATGGATGTATTAATATAATAAAACTAGCTAATAACATAAGTTCTAAGACATAAGTATTAGCTAAACCAAGAAGGTTGTTATGCATATAAATGAATGAGGAAATCATGATGATGCTGTATTAACATGCAATCCTAGAACTCGGGCAATGTCACATTACTGTTAACAACATCATATAACCCACTCAAGGAAGTTAGTACAACATAAATAAGCTCTAGCAGGGAATATAAAAAAGGTAAAGAACCTTAATGGTACCTTACTGTTTGATGCATGCCTGCACAAAGGTGTTATCTTACATAATTTACGGCATTTAGGAGGCTTTTGATCCATCTCAGTACCACAAGGAACCTAGTAGAAAGAAACCATCACAAAATGTCCAAATGTGGCTTATATTAGCAACAGAAATGCATATGAATAACATAGAGTAATTTGCCAAAATACAACAAGCCCATCCTCGATTCAACTAAGATCATATATTTCCATAATAAGAGACCCCAATGCATGAATGCAATGATTGTATCCATCAACAAATGAACATAGAATCTGTGATAACCAGACTCTCACCTCAAAGAACGTCTCACCACATGCACATGAAATTGTCACCATAAGTGGACAGGGAGCACAAGCACCTCTACAATAATGAAAACTCATAATCAGCAAAATTTTCCTTCTAGAGAAGTACTCAAAGCAAATATGTATAGCAACTGAACTTTTTTTTCTCCAATAGTTGCCAAGATGACAATAACACGATGAAGCCAACTAGAAATTCACTTCGATAAATTCAGAGAAGGGATCGGCATTCCACTTAAACCAGCAATGACAAAGTTGCTAGGCAATTCTCTTTGTTTAGCATTGGTCTAATCCAACAGTTTTACTGCCTAACTCACACTAGCAAAGAAAGCTAAGCAATAAAACTTAATCATGCAGCATACCTATGGCAAGGGGCAGGGCATTTGTGGTTCTTGCACCTCAGCCTCTTATCACAAACCTGAAGCATCCATAAATCTATTAAACATTTCACAAGCAAAACAAATTCAACCAATAATAAATAAATAAAAACAAGACCAGAGATCACAGCACCTCTGAACATGGTGGACAATCTCCATCACAACAACGACGCCTACAAGCATGGCGTCCACAATCTCTCATTCTCAAACACTTCTTTTCACATGACAAATCTTGATAGCAAGGAACCTACATTAAATTCAGTTAACAAAAAAAGAAGAAAAAGTAACTGAAACTCAATCAATCAAACGTACTCTACCTCTTTCTTCAATCCACCACACCGGCATGACTTCTTAACCATAGTTCTACATGTCTCCACACAAGGTCCCTTATGACACCTTTCAGGACACCTATGGTAACCACAATTCAACAATTTATTACAAGTTGCACCACAAACAGGAGTCACCCCATCACAGGGCATCCCTTCATAAACTCTTTCGCCACAAGGACATGTCCTTCTCCCTTGCAGTGGACACTCCCCACAAGCTCCTCTATGACATCCTCTTTCACAAACATGTTTTCCACAGGTAAGCAACTTTTTACACTCATTTTCACAGCGAAAATCCCGGTCACAGCAATCCTTCTTTTCTTCCTTTTTACCACACCGGCAACGGTAAGTCTCACGTGCACGGCAAGGGGGGCACGTGCCTGGATGACAGATTTCGTAACAGTTATGTTTGTTACAATCTAAACGCTTGTTACAATGCCTGTTACAAGAAAAGTTTTTGAAACCACAACGGCGAAAATCCTCGACGGAGCCGCAAAAGCACCTGGTTTTAATGGATTTCGGGCAGGACGGGCAGGGACCGGGGTGACATAAAAGGAGGCAAAAGTGACCGCAATTGTTAGGCAACGGACGGTTGCATATTTCGCCGCAAGAGTGAGGAAGTATCCACGGGTTATCAGATGGAGGATCTCGGAGCTTACCACAGAAGCAAAAGTAGGATTTAGGGATTTCAGATTTGGAGTAGGATGAGCGGCATTTGGGACAGTTCCAGGTGGCTTGTTTGGCGGCGGTTTCGGCAGTGATTGGGAGACGTGCTGCAGCGCGAGCAGCGGAAAGATCCGAAGCTTGGCGGGCCCATGACTGAATGCAAAGGAGGTGGAAGAGCGCGAAGCATAGAGAGGAACAAGACCACGTCGGATCGGAGGGACGGATCCGTTCGAGGCAAATGAGGCACGATAAAGCGCCGGAGGAAGAAGAATTTAAGAATGATTGGATCTTGGACAGATCAACGGATGTGATCGAAGATGATGACGATGAAGATGAGGAAAAATCAAGGTATGCTTTGAAAATAGAATTTGAGAGATCGGCGCCGACTTGGAAGTTTTCGGAATCGGAGTCGGTGTCCGAGTCAGAGAAAGGAGGTTGCGATGATGGCAGCGGTGGCGGCGGAGGGTGGTAGTTGGCCGTTGAGTTCATTTTTGGGGATTTGAGAGGATCGGGTTTTGCCGGGCTTTTACAGTGATGCTTTAGACAGCTCTCATTTTTTCAGATTTTCATAGAAATCGTGTGCGAATGTGATGAATGGCTCAGCTACGGAAATGATTTAATATTGGATATAAATTAATTTTATTTTAAATTTTAAATTTTAAAATAATTCTTAATTTCAGACAATAAATCTATTATCAAAACAAATTACATATCTGATTTCAGATAATATTTTACATTTAAATAAATAAAATATATTAAAGATTATTAAATTATATAAAAATAATCTTTAAAACGTTATAATCAAATCTTTTAAACTGTTACAAATAATTCTTGCAATTTTAAAATATCAGCTTTAATAAATTTAATATTTTTTTATATTTAAATAATTTTAAGATCATTTCTTAATAATAAAATAAATTTTAATAATTATTTTGTAATTAATTAAAATGTTAATAATTATTTTATAACTTTCAAAATATTACTAATTAGGAAGATCATTCTAATATAATGTTGGAAATTCTGGTGTATTTTATTCTATCTATGAGCATGAATGATGAATTTAACGATAAATTACTTATTTGATATCTCGTTTTTTACTCTAATTATTTTTTAAAAATCATAATTAATGTTTCATTTTGTTTTTATTTTAGTACTTTATTATTAAAAAACTAATGATAATATTAATATATTGTTTTTAAATTTTTTATTTTCACGTCATTTTTTTCTTTTAATATAAGCGCATACGGTATCTTTTAAATAATTTTATTCAAAACAATAAGATGATGCAATATTTCATCACCTCACCAAAACATCATCTTTATAAAAAAAAAAAGTTAATGAGTACTCGAATAATGTCAACTTAAGGATAGTCAAATATCGACTCATTCAAATTCAAACGAATAAAATTATAGATTTTCAAATCATATGATTGTAAAAGTTTAATCAAATTAATCTGTTAAACCTGAAATAAATTATCGTGGTGATCCAAACATATAAGTTGAACAGAAAAAAAATTATAGAATAAGTTTCGTTGTAAATCCGAATACAGATTTATTTCATTTACTAATTAAACTATAAGCTGTAAGATTCTGAGACATTATGATTTATAGATTTCAAGTATGGCTAATTACACACAGCAATGGTAGAACACGCACGTATCTGATGCTCGTATTCGAATCTGAATAACGTACGTATAAACACGCAACAAACATGTAATAGATAAAGTAAACTGCACACAAGCTCACAATATGCCATCAAACAGATTGAAGATCGGTTCGGAAACATGGACCGGAACTTGGAATGACTACGGGTTGACGAATTCAAAGCGCATGAGGAGCTTCACGGCGTTGTATTTGTCACCCTTGCGGCTGTTGAGGGGAACTGCTCGGATACCACTTCTTAGCTCGGAAATCGGTAGGCATGTTTGGCCTCCAAAGTCATCCTTTTCGGACATGTCGTATTCGTGAACTTCGATGCGGAGTAGAGCCAGTTCCGGGACAGTTAGAGGGAATTCAAATTCCTCATTCCAAGAAGGCACCCAATTGTCCTCTAATGTCTTGGTTTTCTTCATCACTGAATCTACCGGAACTCCGGCAATCCCCACCTGGACGCAAATCAATTATATATCAAGACAAAGATCTTTATTTTTTACGCGGATTGGGTTCTACCAGAGGTGTAGCCAGATACGTAGGTGTATCTACTTACCCGTGCATAAAAGTCCGGCGGCGAATACGTGTCAAAATGAGTGTGATGAAAATCATAATACCAGCCTTCCCCCATGTAAACAGTTACCTTCGGAAAACAGATCAAGAAATCAGCACTTCGGTTTAAGAAAACAGAGGAACTCGGATCCCATGGCCATCGAAAACACTAACCTTCAATATCTTTTTCACCGGTAACTCGACTCTCGGATCAAAGACTTCATTAGGATTCAATAGGAAATAAGGTTTTTTCAAGTATCCACATCCACCATTGGCTTTGAACATTCCATGCATCAACCATAAAGACCTCCCATAACCCTATCACAAGCCAATAAGAAAATAAAAGAATCTGAGGATTCAGCGAAGCGGACAAACAACTATCGACTAGTCTACAGAAAGCGTTCATCTCATTTCCTCTCCAATCCACTTTTACAGGATGATGAAATCCGATAATCAAATCAAACACGAATCCTATAATCAGTCTTGGATAAAGAATGGCGTCCACTTGATTTCTCATTATTCCCACAACAAAATTGTATACACATATCGTGCAATATCTATATCCTCAAGTTCTATAAACAAATATGCCAATCCATAATCAATTAAAGAACGCATGACATATTACCATACCCGATACTTTTACTACTTTATCCGAATGTCCGATAAGAAAAACAGTAAAACGAAAACCATATTGACCGTAGAAACAAATGCATTGAGCTGAGGTAAAGGTGTATAAACCTGCATATTAAATGCGACCATTTGAGCGCCATGCATCCATCCGATTAATGGGTTGTAATTGGAAGAGGTGACACGAGTACCCTTCGGATAAACCCTAAGAATATTACGCTGCGTAAACCTGTAGCAGTTCAAACATCAGAAAGGCATACATGACAGCAGCATACATGATGATTCATAAATACAATATGTCTACTTTTGCCCAAGCAATCAAGTCGCTTATAGTCCACCAACTAAGAGTTCACATTTCTCCATCATCTTAAAGCGGATTCATCTCAGAAGTGCCAAAAGTAAATCTTTTGTGAATTACCAAACAATTTCTTTTCCATGAGTGACTGCAGCTTTTTCAAGTTGTTGCTCACTCATGCTAAGACGTCTCACTTTATCGGGATCCACCTTTAGACACTCCCCTAATCCTCCCTTTGGCTTCCCGGCATGAATAGCGATTAAACCTTTATATTCTGGTGCCTGTGGTTTATCTTCATCGTCAAGATCTTCCTCATCATCCTCATCTTCATCATCCTGTCATATGAGATTAAAAAATTAGTGAACTGTAAATTTTGAGTTACAGCTAGTAAACTCGATCTGAAGTAGTAAACCACATTCGGGATCACCAGAGACCTTGTCATCGGCTTCATTAAGGTCTCGAACTTCTTTTCCCCAAGCTTCTTCATCGCCAACCTTACCCTTCCTCGACTCATTCTCTTTATCCTTAACTTCTTTGGCCTCAAGGTATTCCTTTGGTGGTTTTGTAGATATGATTATCCGTTTCTTCAATGATTCTGGAGATGGGAATTCTTGTAAGCATTCCGAGCCAGGCGAAAACAGGATGTCTCCAAATGTTTGTGTTACAATCTAGAAATCAGCCACAGAAGCGTAAATTATGGGAACATTAGCCATTTGAAATCTCATCATAACCACCAAGAGACTCACCTCGGCAACTTTAGCCTGAAGATCCGGGGTAAGATGATCTTCTAGAGTTATAACAACAGGATATTCCGATGCAACAAAAGCATACTCCTTAATGGACCTCAAACACTTGATGAGTTCCACCGGAGTAGTCAGAGTCCTACATGAAGAAAATTGTTTCATTGTTCTCTCGGACCAAAATTACTTATTTTAAAACAAAAGGATGATCAGTTACTATCGATGGAGGTCACATAGTAGTCGAATTTGCCGTATTTCAACTAGCTGATAAACATGAAAAGCTAAAGCTTTAATGTCGAGTACTCGAGTCACGTTTTTCATCATACAATGAAATCTACATGCTTCTGTCTGAGATACCAGCTCAAGTGAACGAGCAAACTGTTGTAATGAAGTTCCATTTTGCAAAATGGAAGATCCATTTTGTGTTAACGGCTTAGAAGGGGAATGATTTGCAGATCAAGAGTACGTACCTTCCATGAAGAACATCGACATTATCTTTCGTGGAATTAGGCCATATATCCAATTCTATCACTCTCACCCCTCTCTTGAGTGCATTTATGATGGGGACATCGCTGCAGTCGCTACTGAGTTGATTCCCGGTAAGATAAGAATTGTGACCGGTATGTATGAAGTAATGAGATAAAGGAGCATTCATATCATGGTGGACCTGAGGACAAAGAAACGAATACAACATAAACAACAATAGCACAAAAGTGAACAAAAGGAGAAACCATTTGAATCCCATAATGGTGTATTTTAGCTATAAGTTAAATCGGTGAACATGCAACGCGCCATCAAAACGAAAATACGAAGGGTATATCACGGTGCACCGGAAACTGAAAAACAAAAGCACAGAATTGTAGAGAATCGTCTAATTTTCTTTTTCAATTTAATGGCGATCACAAAAGCTCGGACAGGAAGTCCGGGACAACAGCCTTAAATTCATTCCCATCATCAGTATCAGCATTAGCAACTGAGTGAACAACAGAAGTCAAACTATTCAAAGACAAACACACATAGAATAGACAAGTTCAAAATCCTGTAATGGCATATTTTAACTCGAAGTTAAGCACTTTTTGAGAAATCGGCATCATCACCCGACAATCCTCAAAGCTATGAGAGCAGCAAAGCAACTCAACCAATGTCCAGTAATTACCGAGCAGAAAATAAGTTGCATTTGAATAATTGAATCCATACAAAGAAAACAAATTTTCCTACATAAAAGTAAAACCCAAATAAGAACAAAACACAAACATCATATGTAAAAGACTTTCATTTTTCTCCCAAATTTTCCCAGCAACCAAACATAAACATTAAATCCCAATAACATAACCGGGAGAAGCAAGAGGAGGATGGATTGAGCTTGAAGTCAAGTACGATAACCGAGTTATAGAGCCTAATCTAACTAGCCTGAGCCGCTCGATTTTTATCTCGAATCAAACTTGATCAAGCTTGATCTGATTTTTTTTTGTACAGCTTGAATTTAGCTAGATTAGCCCCCTACTCAAAAGTAGAAAGATAAAAAGAAAAGTTTCCAATTCAAGTTCAGCTGAGTTTATAACCCAAATAGGAAACAAACTCAAAGATCATATACTACCTAAATAATTCCACTTTTCTCCCAAATTTTCCCAATAACCAAACAAAAACATAAACCGTCGAATTTTAACCAAACCATTCAACTTCAATCACAATTAAACAACCAATCCTAAAGAG